TGCACGCAGCCTCGTTTTGGTGGAAATAGAGGGAAATCATTAGTTAGCTTAGACAGGCAAATTCGTTGGTGATCTTGGTCAATATTTCGGTGCGCTGATTTCAAAAATCGATGTTACACAGCAAAATACAGAGACCTTCAGCCTTGTTTTGGCACGTACAGACTCGTTTTGGTGCCTATATATGTGCCTTAGATAGCCAAGGAAGATGGTGTGATTTTGCTCAATTTTGGTGCGCTAATTTCGAAGTTATGCGCAAATATATTGGGACCTCTAGCCTCCTTTTGATAAACATATTCTTGATTTAGTGAAACTATTGGGAAGATCTTACTTAATAAACAAACAAGAAAGCTAGTGATTTCTGTTCTTTTTGATAAAATGCAATACTGTTGTTGCCCCATTAAATTGAGGTCATGTTATGCATGGCATTACAAACATGTACATTCTGATGGCAAACCTTGTATTTTCCTTTTCAAAATTCACTTGTGTCTTCAATTTTCACATCCAAATCATCCTCGTAGTCATCGGAGGACGAACTGTTCTCACTCTCTGCGCCTGCAAGTAGCACATCGATCTCCTCGGGATAGCAAATGTCACTCCAGACGACATTTCCATCTCCGTCCCATCCATGCTCGTCGTGGCTCTCAAGTTCTACTAGCAGCTGATCTGCCTGTCAAAAGATGTATGTGACATAGTTAGCTCTCATGATGTGGTAATGAAGATTTGACTGGCATGGTGGGATCAGACTTCGGTTGATGATCTTCTCCTAGTTGAACTTGTTCCAAAATACTTTCTTCCTTGCCTCATTGACTCGGAGGATACGTGGATGCCCGTATATACAGTGCGTCTCAAAAAAATGTCACTCTGACTAAAATGAAAATAAAAATGTTGTTAATAGAGATACAATCGCAATTGTTGATGAAATTAAAAGTTAAGAATGTTGGCTAACACTCCTGTTAATTTCAGGTGTTTTCTGCAATGAACGACGATGTAATAAACGTTTCTAACTGGTGCGAAAATTTTATGAAATCCCAAATGTATTAAAAGGAATGCATTCGAATAAACTCTGTTTGTCAAATATTCAATATCGCACAATTACTTGATTTAAACACAACATGGTTGGTGTGCAATTCACAACAGAGTAACGCACATTTATGGTGCTAGAGTACAATAAGGACTCCATGCACCAGGACGATTTTAAGGAGTTTTGCTAAGTATTCAACACATGGGACAAGTCTAAACAGAAATGTTGGACATTCTGGAAGATGATGAACAGCTAGGTCGTTAAATAATATCAACACAGTATGTGAAGCACTTCAACGTGATCCAAGAATCAGCGCTAGACATAACCCAACAGGACTTTCAAGGGCAACATTCAACAGAATAACGAAATTGGATCTGAAATGGCATCCATACACAATGAACATATGACACAAACTTTTCCCGCAAGATCCAGCACGACGTTTAGCAATCACTGCAGAAGTGCATTCACTGCCGCGGGACATGGTTCGCCGAGCCGTGCTGAATATGGAAATTCGTGCTCACTTATGCATCAAACGAAATGGCGCACACATCGAAGGATGATAAGTCTTTTGACATTTTATGCAATTGCATGTTGTGTGATAAATTAATTTACTTAAATTTGGGAAATTGAGAAAAACGGCTGTTACAATAAAACAGCTCTTATTTTATGTTGCATTAGTTAAAGTTCCTGAAATTAACAGGAAAGCTAGTCAACACAACAATTCATTTATCTAATACATCACTTTGAAAATATTTTACTGAAGCATGATTATATTTGTATTTTAGTCAGAGTGACATTTTTTTTCAGACACCCTGTAGAACAGACGAACCATTCTAAACCCCGAACCAACTCCTCGCTTGCTGTCACCTCCGTACCCAAAGATGAAAATATATCGATAATAAAGGCAGTTTTCTTGGTCATGGCTTTCCACACAGCCTGCTTTCCCTTTCGAAAAAAGCTAGATACAGAATCGTTTCCGGAAAAGGCATGCATTCCCAAAAGAGCTTTTCTGTGACCAAGAGACAATGCAGTTGCCGTGACATCGATGATTTTCCTGTTCTTCCCGCTGCTATTGTCAATCAGAATCTAGTTATCTAAAAATAAGTGACCAATGAACAAGGTTATTATGTCTATATCACCAGATGTGGTGACCGTACTGTTGCAGTTGAGCTAGGTGGCAATTCGCTAGTATGCACAAATGCAACGAGTTTCTTGTCCGCTTCCTCGCGGTTGCTGGTTAATTCTGGTATTTTTTGCTACATCAGCACGATTGATCTTCTAGCACACAGACGTGTTGGAAAAGTATACAATTTTGTTGCCAATGCTGTCCTTGTATTGGGTCAAAAAGCAAAAGTTGTATACTTTTCCAACAAGTATGTGTGCTAGAAGATCAATCATGATGATGTAGCCACATGAAAATTAACCAGCGAACACGAGGAAGCGGACACGAAACTTGTTGCATTTGTGCGTGCTAGCCAGTTGCCACCTAGCTCAACTGCAATGGTATGGTTGCCATCTGGTGCCATAGGCATAATAACCTTAGTTTGTTTATTGGTCACAATTTTTCGGACACACAGACTCTGATTGACAAATAGCAGTGGGAAGAACAGGAAAATCATCGATGTGACGTCAACTGGATTGTCCCTTGGTCACAGAAGAGCTTTTTTGGGAATGCATGCCTTTTCCAGAAACGATTATGTATCTAGCTTTTTTCGAAAGGGAAAGTAGGCCGTGTGGAAAGCTGTGACCAAGAACACTGCCTTTATCGATATATTTCCATCCTTGGGTACGGAGGTCACAGCAAGCGAGGAGTTGGTTAGGGGTTTAGAATGGTTCATCTGTTCTATATATGGGCATCCACGTATCCTCTCAGTCAATGAGGCAAGGAAGAAAGTATTTTGGAACAAGTTCAACAAGGAGCAGAAGATCATCAACCTAAATCTGATGCCACCATGCTAGTCAAATCTTCATTCATCACATCATGAGAGCTAACTATGTCGCGTACATCTTTTCACACACCGCAGAGGCGCCGGAATATCGATAATTGGGGGGGGGCAGATATTCATATATTCGTGTTCACAGACTGTAAAAACAATCGATTTCAAAAGAAATTAATTGGGCAGAACACGAATATATGAATATCTGCCCCCCTCCCCCCCAATTATCGATATTCCGGTGCCTCTGACACGTCAATCAGCTGCTAGTAGAACTTGAGAGCCCCAAAGAGCATGGATGGGACGGAGATGGAAACGTTGTCTGGAGTGACATTTGCTATCCCGAGGAGATTGATGTGCTACTCGCAGGCACAGAGAGTGAGAATAGTTCGTCCTCCGATGACTACGAGGATGATTTGGATGTGGAAATTGAAGACAAGTGAATTTTGAAAAGGAGAATGCAAGGTTTGTGATCAGAATGTACATGCTTGTAATACCATGCATAACATGACCTCAATTTAATGGGGCAACAATATTGCTTTTTATCAAAAAGAACAGAAATCACTAGCTTTCTTGTTTGTTTATTAAGTAGGATCTTCCCAATAGTTTCATTAAATCAAGTATATGTGTATCAAAAGGAGGCTAGAGGTCCCAATGTATCTGCGCATAACTTAGATTTTTGAAATTAGCGCACCGAAATTGAGCAAAATCACCAACTTCCTTGGCTATCTAAGGCACATATATAGGCACCAAAACGAGGCTGTACGTACCAAAACCAGGCTGAAGGCCTCGGTATTTTGCTGTGTAACATCGATTTTTGAAATCAGAACACCGAAATTGACCAAGATCACCAACGACTTTGCCTATCTAAGCTAACTAATGATTTCCCTCTATTTGCACCAAAACAAGGCTGAAGGCCTCGGTATTTGCCCATGTAACATTGATTTTTTAAATCAGCGCACCGAAATTGACCAAAATCGCTGGGTTCCCTAGCTAACCAAGACAACTAACGTCTTGCCTATATATGCCCCAAAACGAGGCTGTATGTATCAAAATGAGGCTGAAGGCCCCGGTATTGGCCCGTATAACATCGATTTTTGAAATCAGCGCCCCAAAATTGACCAAAGTCACACATTCTCATAAATTCCCTGCTCGGGTTACGATACCCACCCTTCTCCTCCTGGACTATAATAGTCTGTCTTGACCTTTTTTGAAGTTGCTTTATGGCAATACTTATAATAACATAGTCCCAAAATGCAGGAAATGCCATTTCGGAAGACTTAATTTTTATTATTTTTTCCCAGAAGAACTAGATTTCAATTCACTGAACAGTCTCCCTAAATTTTACCTCCAGTGATTGGAATGTCTGTGTTGGTGGCATCACATTGGCTACAGGTTGACAATGTCATAAAGCAAGCAGCTACCTTAAAATCTGTGGAAGATGTAATGTTGAGATTGCCAGTATTTAATACATGCTGTCTGATGCGGAAGCAATTTTTGAAATTGTTTCTCAGGTTGTATTACACTAATGTACATAGGATTTATGATTATTTGTTATTATATAGGTTAAAAAAGGTTTTGTTATTGATATGACATAGGCCATATAATACTGATATTTGAAACGATAATTCATTTTTGAAATTCCAACACAGATTTCCCTTTTACAAATTCTTAGTAAATAGGCATGTGAGTTATCTAAAGTTGTGAATTTGCTATAAAAAAACTTTAGAACATTGAAACTTTATCTAGAAGTTAAGAATTTGTGACAGGAAATCTGAGTGTGATGGTGTTACTACCCACTGTGTTAGGGATTTCCATAAAAAGCGAGCTGTGAAATATAATTCCCAAATTGATTGAAGTACAAAGAAACTTGAAATAAAGTACACTTAGAATTGAGTTTGGCAAAAAAAGATTATTTCTATGATAAAATTAAATTAAGTGCTCAGTCTGATGTGGGGAAAAGTTGGTCATTAATTAACAGCCTTATTGGTAAGACCTCGAAAGATAATAACATTATGGAACTCTGTGTCGATGATTCTTCCACTTCAAATGATTGTGTAATTGCGGAAACTTAATGAGTTTTTTGTCTCCATTGGTTCAAAATTAGCTTCTGAGTCCTGCAGTGACTCGATGCATGCGACAAAGCCTAATAATACCCCACGCTCAAGCACAATTTTAAAGTTTTCTGAAATAGGAGTGGAAGAGGTCACTGCTGGGTTGTGTAATCTTAAAATATCAAAAGCAACTGGCATCGATATGATACCTTCTTGTGCTCTCAAGATAGCTGCAGATATTATTGCACCATCAATAACTTGGATTTCCAACCTGTCTTTAAAAACCGGAATTTTTGTTGATGCACACATGGAAAAAGGCTTGCATATTACCAATTTACAAATCCGGCGATAGACAATTATGCGGATATTATCGGCCAATTTCGGAAATTGCCTGTCATAAGTAAGACACTAAAGAGGTCTGTTTTTGATCAATTATACAAATTTCTTAATGACAACTCCCTTTTATCAAAATATCAATCTGGTTTTCAGCCAAAGAACTCAATGCTGACTGCACTATTACAGATGTGTGATGAATGGCATCAAAATTTGGACTGTGGGAAATTGATCGGAGTTGTTTTTCAGTTGATCACAAAATATTGCTACACAAAATGAAAACACAATTTGGTCTTACTAGTATTGAGCTAGGCTGGTTTGAGTCAAACCTTATGAATGGAAAACATGTGTGCAATATTAATGGGCAATCTTCCTCTCCTAAAAATTAAGATTATAACCGGTGTGCCGCAGGGCTCTATCTAGGACCATTGCTTTTCGTACTCTACATAAATGACCTACCAGAGTGTCTACTCCCTGTTTATATGCTGATGACACCCAGATATTTGCATCTTCTACTGTATATGCAGATCTAATAGAGAAATTAAATTCCAATTTTAATCAAAGCTATAAATAAATTACAACACCACACCACCAAAACGAAGCTAATGATTATTGGATCGGCACAAAATCGAAAAGAAAAGGTTTGAGATTCCCCAGTAATGATGAATGGGAAAACGATCCCTTCTACTGACTCCTTTGATTGCTTAGGAGTGATAATTGATAAAAGATTACTCTGGGACAAACATATTGAGAAAATATGCAAAAAAGTGGGCGCTGGAATGAAACACAGTTATGAAACTAATCAAGCCGTTTGTTTGTCACTATTGAAACTATGACATTAATTTATAACACCCTTATACAGCCATATTTTGATTACTGTTCTCCCCTATGGGATAATTGTTGTGTTTATTTAAAGGGAAAACTTCAAAAATTTCAAAATTGCACGGCTAGAATAATTGTCGGTGCTAGTTATGAAACTCCATCGGCTGACATTCTTGAAACTCTTGGTTGGGAAGCACTAGAAGTGAGACGTAAAAGGAATAAAGCAATCTTAATGTATAGAATTTTAAATAATCAAGGTCCGTTGATGTAAATGATCATTTTCTTTCTGTAATTTCCTATTCTCCGCCTTAACTTCATTTATAATGCTGACCAACTCTTCAAATTTTGCTGCGAGGAATCCTTGACTCTCCTTTATTTCAACTAAAGCGGCTTTTAGTCGAATTTGATTCTTTGATAAAGAGATCGTTCAATTCAACTGTCTGTTGTTTAAAACGACGATCAATCATAGCTTGTAGATCCCGTTGAAGTGTTGCTAAGTTGGTACTATCGCCTGAATTGGAGTCTGCAACGGGGGTTTTTTTTGGGGGTTTTTTCTTCAGAGGCATTGCATTAACACTCTTACGACAATCTAAACTGAAGATTTTAGAAAGATATATCTATAAAACACAATTTTTTCGAAAATAGCAGAGCTCTAAAGACACGTCTTGCTCCGATGAACACTTATTGTAAAAAAATTATGAAAATAACAGATGGGGAAAATGATATAACTGATCCTATTGCAATTGCTAATGCTTTCAATGATTATTTCTCCAACATAGGAAATATCCTAGTCGCTAAAATTCCTACTGTTCAAACGTCACCTTTGCAATATTTAACAGATTGTCCATCCAGTAGCTTTTTTATTTCTCCTGTTACACATGTTGAGATTGAAGACGAAATCTCCAAATTAAAAATTGAAAAGGCTACTGGTCCTTTTAGCATTCCAGTCACAGCTCTTAAAATTCTAAAGACTTTTATATCAAAACCTTTGGAAATTATTTTTAACATTTCTTTCATAACTGGCACTGTCCCAAGTCATTTTAAATTAGCAAATGTCATACCAATTTATAAAAGTGGAACACTGATTAGTATTTGTAATTATCGTCCAATCTCTCTCCTTTCAGTATTTCTAACGTCTACAAGATTGAAACTGTCTACTAGAAAAACTAATGTCTACAAGATTGCTTGATTATATACAAAAGAAAGCAATATTATTTCAGAATCAGTTTGGATTTTGTGCTAAATATTCCACTGATCATGCTGTTCTTACTATAAGTGATAAAATTCAAACAGCAATTGATCAACAAGACTATTCTTGTGGCTTTTTCATTTTTCGATTTGTACTTTTTCATACACCTCAACGAAAAATAGGTAATAATTTTGTATTAACTATTAACAATAATAACATACCTTGTTCTTCATCTGTTAAATATCTTGGGATCCTGATCAACTCAAATCTTAATTGGAAATCCCATATTGGAAGTATTTGTAGAAAAATCAAAAGAAGCATTGGTATGTTGTCTAAATTATGCAACTATGTTCCTTTAAAAATTCTAGTTAATCTATATTATGTGTTGATTCATCCTTTCCTAACGTATGGTATATACAATTGCGTGGGGTAATACCTATGCAACTACCTTGCAACCTCTTTTCATTTTGCAAAAAAAAGGCTATGTGGATCATGACCTAGCTCTAAATATGATCAACATTCAAGTCCTCTATTCAAGAAACTAAAAATAATTAAGCTGTTTGATTTGATAACTTTTCATGTTTCATGTTTTATGCATAAATATACTATCATAACATATTACCTTCTGCTTTCATTGGCTTTTTTACAACAGTAGACGCAGTTCGCAACTATAGTACAAGGCTGGCCTCTAAAAAATCTTATTATCTTCCTAAGGCAAGAACCAATTACGGTTTATTTAATATAAGCTTTCTGGGACCAAAAACGTGGAATAGTATAGAAGAAACTGTAAAATCGTTTTCCTTTTATAAATTTTAAAAAAAGCTGAAAGATGACTATTTAGATCAATATTGAATATAGTCCATAAAATATTGAATATAGCCTATAAATAACTGGAAATTAATTTTCATGTATAATTATCCTCTTCTCCTTTCAATGATATCTGGCCACAGAAACTGGTGGTACGTACTATATGCTCGCGGTTAATTATTTTAACTTTTAAAAATCGCATAATAATGTAGATCTGTGTGCTGTACTCTGTGTGTTTTGTTGTATTCAAACCGTTCCTGTTATATGTAGCAATTTGAATTATATGTTTTTGAATTATATGACCTTTATGTTTTTGTACCCTGATATATATTTTTAGTCCTCAACCTTATAATAATCTGAATATCAAAATGTCTGCAAAGTGGGCTTCCTGGCATTTTTAGCCTCTTAAGGTTATTTCTCGATAAGGTTATTTTTCTTCATTGTAAATCTTTAGTGAAATGTTTGAGACAGAGAGCCTACACTTTCAACTTGGGTACCAGTCTTCACAGTAAATAATTAGTAAAATGTTTCAGTCAGAGCCTCCACTTTCAGCTTGGGCAGTTACAAAGTGTTTGAGACGGAGTCTGCACTTTCTGCTTACTAAAAATTCACAGTGAAAACTGGTACCCAACAATGTTTGATACAGAGTGTGCAATTTCAGCTTGGGTACCAGTCTTCACAATAAATCTTTAGTGAAATGTTAGAGACAGAGCCTGCACTTTCAGATTGAGCAGTTTCATGGTAAATATTTAGTAAAATATTTCAGACAGAGTCTGCACTTCAAGCTTGGGTAGTTTTCACTGTAAATCTTTAGTGAAATGTTTAGAACAGTCTGCACTTTCAGCTTGGATACCAGTTTTTACTGTAACTTTAGTGAAATGTTTGTAGTTTTCACTGTAAATCTTTAGTAATATTTAACTTTCTCTGATACATTCTGTATAATCACTGGTGCCTAAAAAGTACAACTTTATTTAATTTTTTGTAATTTTTTGTCCAGATGAATTGTCAATGATCTTTTTTCCAAGATGCATGTAAAATTTAGCTTTGCAGTAACTCTTGATGATGCTCTTGTTCAAGTGAACAGCACGATTTTCATCAATTGGCAAGTCAAAAAGATAGTGACCTAGCTTGGTAAAAAGACTGGGTATGGACTGGCATTAGACAAATACTAGCCTGTGCATAGTGTCATAAGGCTAAAGCTATGCCCCTTCTTTTGTATTTTATTCTGTTTAACTTCAGACAATTGTACAGATGAATGGTAGATACTGCCAGTAAATGGGTCACAGTAGGACTTTTTGCAACAATATGGACAGTGCTTGCAGTGTTTGGTAACTTTGGTTGCTCATATTACTTCAAAACAGTGGTGTCAAGTAACAAAGTAAATGTACTTTGTTACTGTACTTGAGTACTATTTTTGAGAAGTCAGCATGTAACAAAGTAAACTTTTTCTGGATTTATACTTTTACTTGGAAAGAAGTCGTTTTGAGAAGTAACACTTTACTTCGTTATTTTCATTTTATGGCAAAGTATTTTGTTACTTTCTAACAGTTTTGTTTAATTTTACGTGATTTATTCCAGATTAATTTTGATTTTAGGATAGATAATAGGACCTCCACATGCGTCGAGATGCCTTGTTTGTGGCTTACTTATAAGCATTATCTATTTACTGGATTTCTTATATCTTAAACAGGATTTCGAAAGTAGACCATGCCGTGAAATATTGTACATTAGGTGCACACATACAATACGTGTGCTGTTTTGTGTCTTTCGTATGTCAATCCATTGGAGAACTCCACCCCCCCTACACGCTACAGACAATAGTAATTTTACTTTTACTTCAACTATTTTTTAAGGATACTTTGTACATTTTATTGTTAATTACTTCCACTTAAAATTACTTGAGTACCAATTCAAATTAATTTAGGCACCACTGATTCAAAATTAGTAGTGGACACTTCCTGACCAAATATATTTCAAAAGTTCAGTTTTGTTTGAGTGCTCTTTATGCTCAAAAGTATAGTTATGGTTAGCCAAACGCTCTTTAAATGTAGTTGCATTCATGCCAATATAATTCATGATCATGTGACTGTTGTTTTGTATACTATGTCCTTAGTCATGCATTGTTTCTGAAGCAGGCAGCATTTTTCGAACAACTGCAATTGACAATGCCCTTGTCCTGTGGCTTGTTCTTCTTAGCTATACATGCATTGTGCTTAGTGATTATTGACTTATCATTGTTCATGCAGCTATAACTTAGTTTCACTGTATTTCTGTTAAAGATCTTATGCAGCTTGTGGTGCGATGGAAAGTGCTTATCAATAAGACTCAGGAAATTATGCCCTATATTAGTGCTGACACTTGTGCGAAATGGTGGGTTGAACCAAATGATGTTACGTTGCCTATTTCTGTGTGCTTGCTGTGGTGCGTGTTGAGTGTAGCTAAGATCATAAAGTGTGAAGTGATGTATTTTTCCATAAAGTTCCAAAAACTTGGGCATGTGCCACAGAAGTGCATGCATGTATGGTGTTACATGTTTGGCAATATCAATTGATAAAAAGAGTTCAAACCAGGATTGTGTTGTTTAAATTTCTCAATATTCACCTCAGCACTTAAGGTCTCCATCAAAGACATAAAGTTGTCCCAAAGCTATTTCTGTTTTAGGGTCATCAAGCAATATGTCCCCAATTTGAATATTTCTTAAAGGTTTTAGTTTTTCTGGTTCAGTTGGATCTTGCCATGCATTTTGCTTTTTTGCTGTGCTCACAAACAAGTTAAATGGTATTTTTAGTGTTTTGTTGAAGTAATTTTCCCATATGCCTATATTTCGATCACTCAAAACCTTTGTTAAATGCTCACTTCTTTTGAATCGAGTCTGCTTTTCATAGGTGTACAATTAATAAATTTTGCAGGTTATCTAAGATTTGGAGAAAAAGATGTAACAAGTAGTCGATTAACCATATGATTGAGGTGGATGGAAGGGAACAGTGGGGTGTTTTGACATTGTGGGAAGCACTGCTTAGATTTCTTTTTTGCCAGTTCTTGAATTTTACATAAATTGCTACATTTTTCTGGAACATTAATGACTGCAAATAGATGGTTTCCATCTGCACCCATTGCCTTGTCCCCCTCTTCCGAAATGGGTAAACATTATATTTACAACATGTAGTCATTTGCCAATATTTGTACCATCGCTAGATAGCTTTACTTTTAATTTCTTATCCATTAAACATGTAGACCTGCTTTCAATCGGTATCTTCAATCGAATCACAAACCTTTTCTTGATAGTTTGCTGCACACCAACAAAATTACCATGGGTTCAGGTCATCCTTTGGCAGTGTTGGTATTCCCGTAATCTCAATACAATCACGATGTAAGTATTGTTGAAGGCTATACCTGGATTTCGATACTGATACCAACTACTTGCTAACTAGTGTCGGCCGATACCGATACAATTTTGATACCAAAATTCGTTGAAAATATTGAATTTTGATACCAACATTTTTAGTATCTTGAGACAGGCTGTGCAGGCTAGTTTAATAACAAAACAGTAACATTTATTCATCAATATGG